CACATCTAACAAACGGAATCTGATGGAAGCGTCCATCACACAGTGCAGTGGCTTCTGCCCTGGGTGCTTGCTCTCATTCTGTGGCACCGCACGCCCTGGAAAGTAGCTGCCACGTCCAAGGGAAACTAGCAGGCCCATGTGGCAGAGATCGAGGCATGACACTAAGCTTGTGGCTGAGCTTGGAGGCTGGCCAGCACATGCTGGGTTTTCCCGAGATCACCACCCTGGTGATCACTGGACTGTAGCATTGTGAGGGCCCCCTGCTGGACACCCAGGTGAGCTGTGCCTGCATTACCGGCAGTACAAGCAGAGGCAGTAGTCCAAGGGCTTGCACTTTTTTTTTTTTTAAACAATTTTGCATTTTTTATTTTAAATTTGCAAAAGTGGATAAACACAAGAAATTCTAACCATGTTAATTTGATTACAGTTTTTCTTTTCATAGAATGCTGTATTTAAATCTCATTTTTAAAGATTTTATTTGTATTTTATATGAATGTGTGTTTTGCACATATATATTATGTAAAGACGTGCAAGAAATTGTGTGGGAGCTGGTAAGGATGCACATCGGAATGGAGGCCCAAAGAAGATTAAAGGAAATTATATGAAATCTGCAAAAAATTCAAGTGCCTGCACTTTAAGATGCTTACTTTGGGGCTCACCCTCTGCCGTTGATGAGTGCCACATAGTTTCATGAAGGATCTGAAGAAAAATCTCCCGGATGGCCTCAGAGCTAGCCAGGAAGCCATAGCCTGGGTACCAGATGAACACTGATATCGGTCACAGGTACTGTGTGTGGAGTAGAAGGCCTGGGACTACCCAGAGACTTCACAACCTTGACCATGGCACATACGTGCTTCACTGAGGCAAACAGAAAAGCAAACAGAGCCTGAAATCTCAGGTTCACTGGGCCCCGTTGTGACACACTCCTAGCTACCCCTGGTCACACTCAGCCCCAGAGGGAAAACATCGGGAGACTCCAAGCATGGCCTCTGGTGCCCTGACCTTACCCAACCTGGATGGACCAGCCATAGGGGAACTGAGCCTTCAGGACAGGATGCTGGACTGACCTTGGCCACACTGATGGGGGCTTGGTGTTTTCACAAGGTCAAGGCCTCTTTTTAAAGAGAATTCTATTACTCTTCTTCCAAAGCCAATATCATAAACCCTTGTTCAAGAATTTCTGCAAATTTCATTTATTTTAAAATCATTTTCCTCTTGTACTGTTTCAGGTCAGGATTTAAAACAAAGCCTGGTCAGGAACGCGCCCTCCCTTCTCCGTCTCCTGCTCACTCTCCTCTAGAAAAGCAATCTCCTCAGACTCCAGAAGGCTCTCAATATCACGATATTAAAAGAGAGAGGCAGAGAGATGAATATGGTATTTTTCTTAATGGTCACTGAAGATACAAGATTCTGCTGATCAATTACTTTAACTGTTGCTGTTTCCTGTCCTTTCTCAGGCAGCAGGAATTATGGGTCGCTGTGGAAAAAGAGTAGGTATCTCATCCACCGAGGGCTCTCTGGGAGATGGCTCAGCTGGCCAGCGAGGGAGTTCCTGGCAGTCCAGGAGCGTCCACCCACCCTGACCAACTGCCCCGCAAAGGTAGTCATCCTCCTCCTCCTCCTCTTCATTCATCCTCCTCTTCCTCCTCCCTCACCTTCTTCCCCAGCATTACAATTCATGCAGCAATAGCCCTGGCTGTTTTTCTGGTGATTGGAACAAAACAGGCAGACAACCCACCACCTCCCCGCCCCGCCCTCAGTTGTCCCAGGACACTGGGGCTAGGGAAGCACTTCAGAGACAATCAGAAAACCTGAGGCCCCACTGAGCCCAGCTCCCAGACTACAGAGCATGGTGTGGTGCTGCCCTGGTTCGAGGTTTGAGACTGACCCACTGAACCTCCAGGTGGAGGCACCTCAAGTCCTAAACTCCTGAAATCAATTACCACCATCATCAGTGGCCATGTCTGCACCAGTTAAACCCAAACTCAGCTGTTAAAGTTTTAAAGATAATAAATGGAAAATCTCCAAATCTAGTATTCTTTAATAAATCACAGTTGAGATCCAAAGTCCCCAGCTTGTAGGAGGGGCAGGTGTTCTGTTGGCTTTTGTATAGCTGTGCCTTAAAAAAAAAAGTATATATGTATATATATATACATATATGTACATATATATACACACATATACATATATACATATATTTTTTAAAATTATTTTATGTATATGGGTATATTGCCTACATGTACATAAATGTGCCCATGTTGTTCAATGCCTGTGGACGTCAGAAGAGGATGTCAGTTCCACTGGAACTGGAGTTATGGATGGTTGTTAGCCACGATGTGGGTGCTGAAAATAGAACCCAGGTCCTCTGTAAGAGCAGCCAATTCTCTTAACTGCTGAGCCATCTCTCCAGCCCCAGTGTATCTGTATCTTACCATGTGCTCAGAGGCTGAAAGCCTTTCTAGGGCTCAAAGCCTTTGAGAGAAAACGCTTGCTGAGGTAGTATCACTCCATGAACGCCCTTCCTTCTCTGGCCTTAGGTACCCCCTACCCCCTGACATCCAGTCCTGGGTCCCTCTCTAGATCTAAGTCCCTTTTCCAGCCCTGAACCCCGTCTCCAGCTCTAGGTGCCCTCTCTAGCACTGGGCGCCCTCTCTCCCCATCTGATAGAGTGTCCCCTGACTGACATATCAGAAAGCAAGTTGGGTGATCGATCTAAGAGTTGCACTTGGGGGTTCCTCATGCCCTCCCCCAGACACAGAGGATCTGGGCCCATCATTAACCTCTGGACTCCATGACAAACCAGATCACTCAAGGGTAGGTTCACCTCAAAGAGAACACAAGACCCAAACCTCAGATCTCTGTCCAGGACTCTAAGGCAGAAGAAGACAGGGACAGTATCTCCACCTCATTCACAGTTTCAGTTACTCATGGGCAACTGTGGTCTGGAAATGTTAAATGAACTTCCAAAACTAGATATAAAGTTTAAATAGCATTACTATAGATCATGACTATTATCCTGTCCTTCTGTTTGAGCTATTATCCCTGACAACTTACTATAAGTATTTACAAATTAGATGTTACTGTAGGTCTAAATAAATAGACAGAAAACAACATAAGACATACAGGATCTGATACTATCCACAGAGTCTGTCCTGGGAGTGTACCTCCAAGAACAAAGGGAGCCTCTGTACTAGAATTTTTTTTTCTGAAAATGTATTTGAACCTAAACACAAATGGAGAGAGAGAGAGAGAGAGAGAGAGAGAGAGAGAGAGAGAGAGGAGTCACTGAAGAATAAACAGGAAGGCAAAACACAGGCTTTTAGCAGGAGGCTCTCTTTACCTACTTGGAGGAAACAGATCCACTTAGCTCTTCGGCCCCACCTGCCCGCCCTGGTTTCAGTTTTATATTCTAAACACTAAGATCTTATTTGTGGGTGCCACCAAAACCAAGTGTAACGTAAGCAGCCCACCTGTTTGTGGGGAATTATTCTAGGTACAAAACTCCATCTCCAAGTTCCCATGCAAATTTCCGGAGCCTTTCCCACACCAGGCCAACATATACTGGCTGCTATTGGAGTGTCCAAGGCCACTAATGACTTCAAGTCACTGATGTGGTACAGGTTCAGGCATGACACATCTCCATGTGTTAAAGATGACAAAAGTCAGTGACACAGACCCAGTTCCAAAGGCAAAGAACCTACATATAAGAAGTCAAACTAATTGGAGAGAAACAAAATTTAGGAATAATTCCAAGTCCTGCCATTGAAACTTTGCCACTTAGAGGCTCAATGTTCTTAAGCCTACAGTGATTCAAATTTGGGTGAATTCTGCCTGTTAGCTAAGCAATTAAGAATAGGAATTGGAACCAAACTAGACAAGTCCAAGTCCAAATCCAATTATAGCTGGATGGCCCTGAGCAGAATACAGATACTCTCTCTAATTCAGTACTTTAAAAAGGAAGGGTGGTATGTGTCCACTCAGAAAAACTTCTGTAAGGATTAAGAGAACTGTGAAACTTAACTGAGTACATGATGGGTACTTCTTGTTACTGCTTATAAGATGTTAACCCTAGTCCAGACGTGGTGGCACACGCCTTTAATCCTAGCACTCAGGAGGCAGAGGCAGGTGGATCTTTGTGAGTTCAAGGCCAGCCTGGTCTACAAAGTGAGTTCCAGGCCAGATGGAGCTACAGGGAGACCCTATCTCCAAAACACACACACACACAAAAAAAGATGTTAACCCAGATTCTAAGCAATTCAAAGTACTGTGATGATGGTAAATAGTAATTGTCAACTTGACAGGATCTGGACTCACCTAGGAGACAAGCCTCCAGGCACACCTATGAGATATTATTTAGATTAATCTAATCTCTAGGCATGCCTGTAAGGGATTATGCTGGATTAGGTTAGTTGAGGTGGAAAGACCCACCTTTACTATGGGGGGCAACATTCCATGGGCTGGTCCTGGACTGAATGAAAAGGCAAAGAGGAAAAAGAGAGCTAAGCAGCAGTGTCCAGCTCTCTCTGCTTCTCAGTTGCAGAGGCAATGTGACCAGCTGCCTCAGACCCTGTAGCCACACCTTCCCTACTAGGATGGGCTATATCCTCAAGCTGTGAGCCAAAATAAACTCCCTCCCTCCCTCCCTCCCTTAAATTGCCCTCATCAGGTATTTTGTCACAGCAAAGAGAAAAGTATCCAACGTAAGCAGGTTTTGAGAACATTTCCTACTATTAAAAAAAAGAGAGAGACAAAAAACATGCCGAAGTTGGACATGGTGACTCTTGCTGTAAACTCCACATTCTGGGAGGCTGAGGCAGGAGAACTGTTGCAAATTCAAAGCCAGCCTGGGCTACATAGCAAGATCCTGTCTCTTCTCTATTCTCCCCAACAAGAAAACCCTCTATCAATTCTTCTGCAAGTTCTGAACAACCAAGAGCAAATGGCAAGTTGCATAGTATACCCAGAGAAAAGTTTGGAGGACGAAGGTGCACCCCACTTACCCCCAGGATCCCAAGGCGCTCGGCCAGGCTCCAGCCACAGAGAAAGTCAATCTCAAACTTATGGTTCAGAACCACGATGGCATTTTCCTTCCCATAGTGGGGGGAAGCTTTTGGGTCCGTGTAGATGGTGCACTCCGTGCCCGACCACCACTCCAGCAGCATGACCAACTCTGCAACAAACCACAAGACACGCACACATTTACTTCACCATCTTGGGATCCTGGGTCTGTTCTGCTGGGCTGAATGCTGTGAGAGAAAGCTACTTATAAGGCTAAAGTTCCAGATTATTTCAGCCCAGGCATGGTCCTCAAAAGGGTTTTGAAGCAGAAGGGAGAAAAGGGAAGCCCTGAGTCCTCAGGGAGGGAGAGGAAGCTTCCAGACAGATTGTGACTTCTGTTCCTTGATTAAGTACCTTTGGAGAAAAGAAATTAGAATCTGGATCCTTCCAGCACCACGTTCCTGTGCTGCCAGTATGAGATGTCCTAAACAATGACGAGCTGGTGAGCGTCTAAGCTCCATCAAAGAACACTATGGACCCAGTTTTTCTCTCTTATTAGTGATACCCCAAGGGCACCAGGAATGACATAAACCCATGGTACAGGAAAGCAGAAGGTTCATCACTGCAAGGACACAGGTAACTTGGAGTTCTCACCTTTAACAAAAGGCTGTAACAAAATTATTAACAATCTTTGGAGGGGCTGGTGAAAGTATAAGATCTCTATTTTCAGATGATGACCAATTTGAGTGTATTCTCCTGAAATCATCACCACTCAGGCTTTTCTGGAGGCTTCCAGCTGCAGAAAACAAGAACTGGCCACTCAGACCAAAAGCATCAAATCCCATATGCACACAAAGGCAAGTGAGTCTGACCTTGGCTGCCCTGGGGAACCTTTCTCCTCCAGGCTAGAGGCTGAGCACTAAAGCCATCTAGAGAGCCCTATTGTCTAGTTTCTAAGCAGTGGCACTGTGGGCTTTGCACAAGCTAACCCCACGGTTCTGTAGTGTCTTGGTGGGATCTTGTTGAAATTATAGTGCATAGAATATAGTAAGTTTCCATGAATCCAGACCATTAGCATCATTAAAAACAAACAAGAATTTTCCCTTCTTTTTCCAGAAGTGGGTGATGAGAAGTGTCTGCCTGTTTCTATGAGTGGAAAAGACCCTGCTCAGTTGTCCCACCAGGCAAGTCAGAGAGGCAAGTGAAGGACCCTGTTTAGGGACCGTAGAGGAGCTGGTGCATCATGATGCAGAAACTGCCTATGGGGTCCCACAACCCCAGCTGACTCCATACCAGTAAGCTCCCGGCACAGAGGTGTTTCCAGTCAACCATGTGATGACCTAATTTGTCAAGTACTCCACCAAGTGCTGGAGATGAATGATGACAGCTCAAAATCAGGGCCTGCACTCCTGGGTATAACTTCTGGGGAAGACAGATCAACAGCCACCTACCAGTGGGCAGAAGACAGCTCAACAGCCACCTACCAATGGGCAGAAGACAGCGCAACGGCCACCTACCAGTGGGCAGAAGAAAGGAGAACTGTCTTCTTGGAAATGGGTCAAAGGGCTGAAGGAGAAGGGAGTCTGGCCTGGCCAGGCTCCAAATTGACTAGGCCTACTTCCTGGTCACAATTCTTTGGCCATGTTTCCCAGCATCCCTTGGTCTGTGCAAGACCAATTTTGAGATGTTGTGTTTATTAAATTAAGACTATGCAGGACTGGAGAGATGGCTCAGTGGTTAAGAGCACTGGCTGCTCTTGCAGAGGCCCCGGGTTCCATTCCAAGCACCAACATGGCGGCCAACAACCATCTGTAACTCCAGTTCCAGGGGATCTAATACCCTCTTCTGACCTCTGCAGGCATTGTATGACATAGGTGCACTAATATACATGCAGGCAATATAATCATAACACACAAAATAAAAATAATAAATAAAATATATTTTAAAAACAATTATGACTATACATGCAAGGTACGCACAGACTGGAGCATAACACGCCATTGATGCACATGATAATTCCATCACACACAAGGTTCTCTGGCCACTAAGATTCTGTGTGGGATCAGACAGAGGCCCACAGAGAGAGCACAGCCATACCCTGTGGCCCAGAGCTGTGATTTATAATATCATCTTAAAAGCAAAGAAAAATCCCTGGAACATTTGCAAACAGGCACATCTAATTTGCATTCTGAAACCTCACTGTGCCTGAAGCAGGGACAGGTTGGGACAGGGAAGCCATAAGGTCAGCAAGGAGGTGACCTCAGCAGTCCATCAAGAGGGGATGATGGCTGGACCCATGGAGAAAGACCACATGCCTCAGTCATCTCAACAGTGATCAACTCCAGAGCTGAACTCCGACTATCCAGGCTGGGAGGGTTGTGAAGTTTTAGTTTTCTTCTCTTTTTCTCTTTTTTCCTCTTCTCCATACCCCTCTTTTCTTCTTCCTCTTCCTCCCCCATCTACCCTCTCCACCTCCCCCTCCTCCACCTCCCCCTCTTCCTCCTCCCCCCTC